TTTAGGAAATGTGGATCCACCAAATTGTGTTTCTGTTTATTATTTAGGTTTTCGCTGGTGACATGAAAAGTATGAATTATTTTCTATCTTTGTGTCTGTGGCTTTATTTTTAAATAGGGAATAGCACAACATCCGTCACTGAGATCTACTGAGCATTGATTTATTATTGTTTATCTAAAAATAGAATACAGTTTTTAATATTTGAATGTTTTAGATAAATTTGATTTGAAAAGAAGAGAGTATGATGTCTTTGTACACACCTCAGCTATCTCTGTTCTTTTTTTTATAATGGGTAATCAACTTAATGGTTATCGCTTGTTATTGCAATAAACTGTAATGTAATGAAAAAGTATTCTTAGGACGTTTATCACTTTGATCTTGGTCTAAAATATATGATAGCCACCCCCCATTTCTATGTCTTTAAAAACACTTTGGCAATAGTTCTCCAGTCTTTCTCTACATCTTTCAATTTTTCTTATTTGGACGTCAGCTGTTTTTACTCACTTTTTGTCTAGTCCTTGTACCTGTCATTGTATAGGGCTGCATTTCAGCCAATGGGGCGATCGTGGCTCAAAAGTTGGGAGTTCGCCTTGTAATCGGAAGGTTGCCGGTTCGAGCCCCAGCTCGGACAGTCTCGGTCATTGTGTCCTTGGGCAAGACACTTCACCCGTTGCCTACTGGTGGTGGTCAGAGCACTGACAGTGTCCGGCAGCCTCGCCTCTGTCAGTGCGCCCCAGGGTGGCTGTGGCTACAATGTAGCTTGCCATCACCAGTGTGTGAATGGGTGGATGACTGGATGTGTAAAGCGCTTTGGGGTCCTTAGGGACTAGTAAAGCGCTATACAAATACAGGCCATTTTACCATTAGTAGTGTTGGGGAACTTGTTAAAATTGATGGAATTATGAATGCAGAAAAGTACCACCTGAAGGCATCAAAGGTACTATCTTAATTTTTAAGCACGGCAAAGGTAACACAAACAACCTGCCAATGCAGGAAAAGCATACCTGGATAGAAAAACACAATAATACACTACCAGTCATGATTTGGCTTCCAGAAGTTGGATCAACATTGTTACGCCAAAACAAAAGACAGCCAACATCCAAAGAAGGGCTTTGACTGTCTTTTAGGAAGCCTGGAGAACTATTGTTGAAGACATACAAGAAAGCTGACTAAGAGAATTTAGTTCTGTGTTAAATAATACAGGTGATCATATGAAATATTAATTTCCAAGCTCATTAGAACTGCACAGACTCTGTTTTTGCTTTCTACATATATTTGCACGTTTCAATGAATTGCTGCACCCATTTCCCATTTTTCTAGAAAAACATAAAGAAATGTGGGACAGTCCAAGACTTTTGCACGGTACCTTGGGTTTTAACTGAAAAATTACGGTTTGTCTGTGAGTTACCTGGAAAAACGGATTCAAATCATCTTCTCGTTCTCTTCTCTCATTCAGACCTGTTGTACCTCGGGGGCTACAGGCCTGTTTTGGAGCCTCTCCCCCACCACAACTCCACCAGCAACATGAACCTGGAGGAGCAGGGGGCAGAGAGCAGGGTCCAGAGTCCCAAACATCCCTGCCGTGGACCACTCATTGTGTAACACACACGAACACACACCAATCTAAACTTACTCATCCAGTCAGCTCTTCTTAATCCTGCCACAGTGCTGCAGCGCTGGATACTGTCCTCACTGAACAGGGACTCACATCCCCATCTTTCTCAAAATTTCCTGGATGATTCTGGATTGGAGTCAGGAGGAACGAGGAATCACACCTCTCCATTGTCTGTGCGTTTTGTTTTTTTTTCCCTCACAGGAGTTTCCTTGTTTTCTTGTCTGTGATTTAACTTGTTGTGGGAATGATTAGCCTACTGCTACGTTATTATTTATTACCTGTAGGTTTAATGAGAGCTGTGTATTGTGACACTATCATTAGAAAAAATATATGCTGCTCCTCTTCTTTTTTCCCTTTCTTCCTATTACCAGCTAAACAGTCAGGGGCTACTGTGATCGGCAATCGGATTTATTACTAGCGTATTTCTCCTTCTCTGTTGTAAACTGTATGCCTGACGAGTGGTCGGACGCTTTGACGCTAAAAGTCAGCTGACACCGGACTACCTTACCTTACTGAGCTAGAAAGTACTGACCCCTCTCCTCTCATCAGGGAGCTCCTGTCTCGACTTCGCATGCAACTTTCCAAGTTTTCCTCTCATTTCCACCATGCTTTTGAAACACAACGACCTGTGCTGAATGTCAATTCAAAAGTGCAGAAGTGATCGGACTCGTATGGCGGTCGATGAGCCAAGTTACAGTGGCCAAAATGAACAGAGATCAACTGGAGGAAGGAAAAAAAAAAGATGCCACACAGAATGTAGGACGATAATCTCTTAGAAGGGGAATGTACGGGACATCTGAAATGTCCCCTGACTGGAATCAAACACAAACTTTGACTCGCACTCAAACACACCACTGGCACCGTCTCCATCTACAGCTCCATCTTAGCATGTCAGTATTATTGTAGTGCAACTTGAAATCAACAAATACCACCGAGCAATAAAGACACTGCATCTCATCCTTTTTTTTCCTGCACTAGGATGCTTGTTCGCAGTTCAAACAGTGAAAAAAAAACTATTTGCGCTGCTGGGTCATATTCAGACGTTTCATTGTGTTACTGCTTTTTAAAAAAAAAAAAAAAATTTCAGCGTTGCCATTGTAAATGGATTTCTTGTGAGACAAGCATCAATACAGTGAAAGACTTGGCCCACGCTGCTGTCTTGCATCTTGCTCATCTTCATGCTTCCCGGTTTGTACCATTCCCTCGAGCCTGTTTCTTCCTGTTTGTGACGCTTTTAGTTCGTGAGATATACTTTAATGTATGTCACCTGTTGTTGACCTTTTTGTGTTTTATTTTGTTGCAGAACACTGTGTTGTTTATTAGAATGTGGATGAAAATATGTGAAAAATTTGTAAAGGTTTACACACGAATAACTGAAAAGGGACAATATCAACATTTAATGCACTATTAGCTGATTCCTAGACGACACACTTTGCGGTGCATGAGGCGACAGTAGAGTAAGCATGTTAGTCTAGGTCAGCCTGCACCCTACTGTAGACTTGATGATGGATCACTGCACATGCATAAAGACGTAACGTATCCTTCTGCAGTGTTAAATATCAGTTTCTGGAACCCTATTCTGTTGGCCGTTAAGGTCAAGACTACTGCACTACTATAACCAAGCTGCGAACAGTCACATGATCACAGTCCGAATGTGTTAATGAAGCTGTATTACGGCACCAGTCACAGTATGATATCAAAGGGATGGGTCCCAAATCTGCAAGACCCACTTTTCTAGAGTGAAAATGTCAATGAAGACTTTGAACAGACAATAAAGTTTTTGCAACTAAACAGACATTTGAGGGATTTTCTGTTGAGTTCAAATGGAAGGATTCATTAATCAGTGCTTTATGTCTCTGAGCATGAACTGCTTCTCTGAGGAGTTTCCTAACATGGTCACTGTGAGTGAAAATCGCTCGACGCACTTATTTTACAGTCATTTTTCAGACTTTGGTATGCTTTATTTTCCCAGAAGAAAGTTCAAACTCACTAGTAGAAAATTCTTACAGCTAAATTGGAACCATTCCCACACAACAAAATTGACCTTTCCATCCATCTATTCTCTTCCTTTTATCCTTATCTGTGTTGCCTCAAATAATCTTTTCTGCTTACAAATATATACATGTGAGCGGATTTGTGTACTTCCCAACAGATGTCACCAATCAGCATAACAGTAGCCAAATGTGGCATCCCTATCAGTCCCTGTCCTAAAAACAGAAAATGAAGTAATAATCCAAAAACAGAAAAAAGAAGAAGAATATGGTTTCATCTTTTTACTTATAACTACACAACTCAGCAGATTTTTCTGTATCTGTCAGCTAACTTGTTTCCATCACTCCAAACTAAAACCAATCTTGTATTGCCAATGATCCGCCTGGTGAATAGCCCTCATTCTGTGATATGGTTTTGGTCGTCCTCCGTATGACTCACACAAGGCTATATAGGGAATTCCAGGAGCTGCTAAAAATTCTTGACAAACCCTCCTTTTCACTAGGGCATGGCATGTAGTTTGAGCTGGAGAAGATTTAGACAGTCCTAGCACAGTGTCCTGTTGTAATCCAGACACATTACAGTACAGTGTTTCTCTGTGACTGTGACTCTGTGTGTCTATAGCAACACAACTGAAAAATGCCAAAATAGCTTTAAACATGACTCTGGTCCTCTCATGGAAATAGTCTCAGTATCTATAACTACAGTTATTTGAATAGTTTCCAGATTTGTGAACAATACTCACACACAACAATAAATTGATACACTTTAGAAGTGAAAAGTAGTCAGTCACCTGTCAGATATATCTTTATCTTTCAGAAATTCAAGAGCCATTCCCGACTATATACTGCACTATATAAGATAGATATGTGACGTAACCTGCTTATTTGTGGGCTACTGTTCTGAAGCCTCTAGGGTCTGACATTTTGCCCTTTGCTCTCTTGGTGTTTTGAAAACAGATGTGACCATATTTAAAAGAGAGGATTAAGCTAAACAGTTAATACTAGTAGTTAGTACTAGTATGCTGGAGGTTAAAGGTAGTTTCTATAAAAATGATTGCTAAAAGTCAGTTAAATATGTTGGCTGGGCTGTGGCACAGTTTTTAGTAAGGCAAACCTTTTCCATTGGCAGTTTTCGTTGGACTTCTTTATTGTACTACCACTTGGCTCATGGTTATTGATTATTTGCAGGCAAGTTTGAAAAGGCTCCAGGCAGCTGTCACAATGCTAGCAGCCAAAGCAATCAGAGCTTTTTTGGTACAGCGCCTTCTTTGCGTCTGATTTCACCCAGTGAAAACCAGCAACCTCCAAGAACTGCTGCCAACCAGTCGGGAAATACACATTTCCCCAGCAACCAGTGGTTGTATCACATCTAACTCAACAACTCTTAAGCAATGTGTCGTGAGAAACCTCAATACCACTAGAAGACTTTTTAATAGGCAGAGGAGGGGCCCCTGGTTGCCCATCATTGAGAACTCGGGTTTAATTTGCATTGGCATACTTTTGTAACAACCCCACAGACACTGGTTAAGAGGTTAAAAGTTACGAGCTGTTATACGTTATACTTATTAATCAAGCAAAAATGAAGCTCAAACACTCAACTGTTCATTTAGATAGGTAATCTAACAAATAATCAGTAGCAAAGATAAACTCCAGTTTGATAACAGCCAGCCTGTTAAATCTGGACTGTATGAGTGAAGTCACTTAACTGTACAGAAAGTCTTTTTGCCTAAATAATACATGATATTTGATGTTCAGCTGGGCACTGAGACTGGAAGACAATGGGAGTAAGTGGTTTTAATGGGGACAGTGTTCATAATGTCATTACCACTTTGTTTTAGTGATCAAGTTGCGCTCTAATTGAATTCTACCTTCTCATTTGAGGTTTGCAGGTTTGTGTCTGTTACAGGAAATATCTCTTATGTAACTCAAAGACTGTGTCACCAGCAAGCTGCAAATTTGCGTTATCTCTGTCCCAAAACATATAAAGCCCCTCCACCCGCCTTTACCTTAGTTTTATTTGTTATTCTTCTCGTAAACCTATAATCTTTATCTGCCTCAAGAAGTAAGTGTCATATATACTGTATGTCCCTTTCCTCTGTAAGCCAATTACAGAATCAGAGTGCGGGGGAGGGTTTTTCTCATTTAAGGCAGCAAGCCAGGTCATTTATTGTGCCCAGCCCTCCCCTTCTCAGATTAAATGTCAGGGCAGCAGCTCTAACAGCAGGGACACATGCTCCTCTGGAAGTAGCTCAACCACACAGAGACACTCTCACAGCTGCATATACGATGTATTCAGCTTTTCTCATCCTGATCATCTTAACTGGTAAGACTTTGTGTTGTTTGGAGTGTCATTTCATTAATGGACAGCAGAGTACTGCCCATCCTGCATGTATCTGATTCTTTAACTTTTTACATTGTTTGTAACAGTAACTTTTCTTGGACACATCTCATAAAGGCATAATACAGATTAAGACAAATCGGGGACCGAAAAATGTTCAAATGAGAGTTATTGTTATTATTTCCAATAAAAAAGATGAAACTTGAGATTTAAGCAAGGGAAGAAAAAAGGAAAACACAAGTAATTTAATGGGCTAGAAGTGTACATAGGATCTTTAATGACAATAGACAGTTTTAATTATCTTAAATCCACATTAATCTAATTCTAGATTTAAAAATATTATGAAACTTGAGTTTCCTGAAAACAGTATCCTGACACTACAAGGAAAATTAAATGATAAAAGCACTGCAGACAAAAAAAAAACAGATTAAGAAACAAGAAACAAACTAAGCAGCTGTGTACAAGCTCTCAATTTCTCTTTTTTCCAAACAAAAGTTAAAAATGAATGGCAAAATATATTGTTTAAAATCTAAATTCCAATAGAAATCATTTATCTGACAACTATTTTGCTGTAGATGTGACTTCCTGTCAGAAAGTGTGCAGTTACCACGATGTTCTGGACTATCTGAACCTGACCACAGATAACAGTGTGTTTAAACTGACGCGGCCTGTGCTGGACTACACGCACCCCACCAAAGTAGAGCTGGACATCATCCTGTATGCCATCCTGGCTGTGGTAGGTGCAACATTACTGCATTTATGTGTTATTAATGAGCTAAATGCTACAATGAAGGTGGTCATTACTGACATCACTTTATTTTCAGATTGAGAAAACACAAACTTTTATTCCCTTTGTCTGGGCAACCCTGGTGAGTTTATTTTCTTCAGATCTACATTAGGTTAACACAAAGCACAGCTAATCTTTCTGGGGTCTATATTAAAAATATATGTCAACACATTTCAAAACAACATAAAACTAAAATAAATAAATATAGAAAGCACACTACAAAAATGATAATTTGACATTCATGATAAAGCTAAGCTCCACAGATGTTGTTTTAGGACTTGTTAAATTAAGCATTGTACATTGATCTGTTTGATGCAGTCTTTCATTGGTCTATCTGCTCTATTCTGCACAAGGTGAAATAAAAAACGGCCCAATGAGGATGCAAATCATGGTCTGCCTGAGACACACCTTGTGCATCTCCGTCTTTGACTTTTCTGATAATCTAACCTTACTGCAGATATGGAATAATGAACGCATCTCATGGGACCCTGATCAGTTTTGTGGAATTACTCATATCACAATTCCTCGAGAAATCCTCTGGAAACCAGATGTCTTCATTTATGAGATGTGAGTCAGCAACACACACGGACATGAAGTGTAGTTTATTACAAAATCAAACACAAACAGGTTCAAAAGGAGACACTTTTATTCATTTTGTTCAAATCAAAGTGCGTCAAAAAAGTGTTTCCTGGCCTGAGAGATCAATATTTTGAATAAAATTGGATTCACATTGCAAAATAAATACTTTTGGCATGTTAAATCTTTGAAAATCACAGTGAAATGAAGGTCATAACTCTTTTTCTCATAGCTGAATTTGAAATACTTTTTATTTACAGTGAAATGTGAACAGGACTGCTGAGGGCAGCTGCTAAAACAAATCATATATAACAACCAATAAACTATGACCGCTCACCTGTCATAAGTGTCAAACAGAATTATAATTTGTTAGGTCATCACCAATTTATTTTTCATGGACAATGCTGCTTTGTGATGCTATCTATTTATTAAGCCAGTTTATTGATATAACAGACACTTTCCTGTTTGCAGTTTACGTTGTTTTTGGCTAGACATATTTGTTAGGTACACCTGTTCAACTGCTTGTTAACAGGAATATCTAATCAGCCAATTATATGACAGCAACTCAATGCATTTAGCTATATAGACACTATGAGAACAACCTGCTGAAATCCAAACTGACCATCATAATGGATATCAGTAAGGAGGAATGTTTGCAGGAGCTTGCTTTTTTTTGCAAAAAATCATTTTATAGTTGTTCAGCATCAAATGTAACAGCTTGATATCTGCTGCCATCCTGTGTTTGTTTAGAAGGTCAGGCGCTTCATTGTGTGCACACTTTATTAAAGTACACGCAGCAGCTTTTATACTACTTTAAAACAAACACATTATCCTGCTGCTGTCACAGCAGGAGCTTCAGAATAATTCAGTCAGTTTATAATTAGTATCATCAAATTATGCTGTGTAGGTGCTCTGCAAACATACTGAAAGAGAGAATAATGTGTGTGTGTGTGTGTGTGTGTGTGTGTGTGTTGTGGTAGGTGTGTGTGTGTGTGGGTGTGTGTGTTGTGGTGTGTGTGTGTGTGGTGTGTGTGTGTGTGTCTGTGTGTCTTAGGATACAGACGGACGACTCCCCTCAGAGTTATTACATCTCCGTAGCCTACGATGGGACGATCACTTCTGAGGACGACATTAAGATTGTCAGTACCTGTAAGATGGATGTCCACAAGTTCCCCTTCGACACGCAGAAATGTAACATCACCATTGGTTCTGCAAGTCACTGTGGTGAGGGAGGATGAGTGTTCTGGTGTGTTTTCTCCTGCTTTCATAGTTGTTTGAACTCTGAAACGTTTCTCTCATTCTTTCTGTCATTTCCCAAAACAGTAGATGAGATGCGACTTTCTCCTTTCTCCAACTCCTCCCGGGCCACGCAGTTTTCCCGTGAAGTGATGAAAACACAGGGAGAGTGGGAATTCCTCCAACTGTCCATCTCCAAAGTCAATATGACCTTTGAAAATAAACTGTGGGAAAGCCTCATATACACTGTACGTAATACACAGAAAGAAAAACACAAGTGGCAAATTACATTAAAAAACCAAAAAAAACAACAAGATAAGAGACGTCATTAACATTTACATCAAGCAAGAGAAAACAATGAAATGTTTAAACTGAGACATTTTTCTATTTCATTAAAAATATTTCTTGAAATAAAAGCTTCTCGTATTCATAAAACAGGAATGCTGCAGAACTGACTACAATGGTCTTGTGATAATAACTTTATGTGACCAAATCAAGCAATTTATGATAAATAACCAATTTTAAAAGTTACTTCTGCAATACTACACCCACACAATACGATAACTTTCACACAAGGTAAATCTAACCTAACCACTGAACCCGTTTTCCCAGTTCAGCATGAAGAGGAGGCCACTCCTCCACGTCATTAACTTCCTGTTGCCCATCTTATTCTTCCTAACTCTGGATCTCGCCTCCTTCTTCATCGCTGACCATCGAGGAGAGAAGCTGGGCTTTAAAGTCACCGTCCTGCTGGCAATCTCCGTTCTGCTGCTCATCCTGAACGACATCTTGCCCTCCATGTCCAACAAGACCCCACTCATAGGTACAGACTCCTTCCTTAAGGGATGATGTTTAAGTGTGGTGACGTATTTCATGTATGTAGAAGAACCAGATACCAAAAGAAAAAAAAGTAACTGTTGCTTGTTTCATCCTTTCAGCAACATACTGCATTGTGATTTTTGCCCTTATGCTGCTCAGTCTGCTGGAGACAATTTTGGTTACACATCTGATAGAAAAAGACTCCCAAGTCAAGCTTAAGGTGAAGAATGAACATAAAAAAGCCAAAACTAATAAAAGCGATACAGGTGAGATACGTAAAAAGCTTCTCAGATACTGATCACAGATTTAGTCTATAGTATCAGTCTGCTAAAACAAGAATTCAGATCTCAGGTAACCCCTGAGAGAACCTGCAAAGGAAAAATGCTTTAAAACATTAAATGCAGTAAACATGAAAAGTGTCTGGAAACACAAGCAAACATATTGAAAAAGAGAACAAAAAGAAGGCGATGATTTGCATGCTGTACATTTAATTTCAAAAGCTTCATCTTATCTTTAGTTAGCAGATGTTTCATGTTTTAAATGTGTGTAAATTCTTGTGACAAACCTACTGTTTGCTTTCAGAAGACAAAAGACAGACCTGCTGTTCCTGCATCTGCATAGTGTCCAGTGATGAGGAACAGCATGAGCTACTGCCTGTTGCTGAAGTGGTACAGTTTGAGCATATGCATGCAGATATTGCATTAATATGACATGACAGCAGAGCAAAATTGTATTAACATCTTTACAAGATCTTAATTAATCAGTGACAACAAAACAAATGTGTAAATTCATCTTGAGTGGGATGAATAAGATCTTCAGAGCACACATTTTGACTGGCCAACATCAAATCAGGGCTCAGATTCCTGTTTACAGACTAAAAAGAAAAGATACTTTGTTGTGAAGAATACAACACAGCCTTACAGAAATGGAAGAAAATAACATTGATTATGTTACAGTATTATTTGGGGAACCTCTGGGGTCCTGATATATTCCCCTGGAGATTACTGTCACATGAAAGTAATGCTTTGGATAAAGCTGTTGTTGGTCATGTGCTCTGTAGCGCTGGAGAAAATGTTTTAAATAAAATATCATTGCTCTGATGATGAAATAAACTTGCTATAAGTAACTGATACTAAGATTATTTATAAATGGGATTAAGTTCCATTAAACACACAAGAAAAGCCCCCAAAAACACAGTTTTGGAGGAAAATGACTTAGAATTGTTCTTTATTCAGGGCTAAAAATGATCGTTGGTACAATAACAGAAAGTTATTAAATTATTAAAAGTAGTTTTCATAAAAACAAAGACCAAACTGTTGTTGCAGCATTAAAACACCAGGGGTCAGTGCAGATGGATGAGGTTACAGAGTGTTACATGATGGTTCAGTGCAAGATTCAGTAGTTTTACACATGAACCCTCACATTTATTAAGAATAAGTAAGCGGTGGCACTAAATAAAAAGTAAAATGCTAGTATTCACAGATGTAAGATTGTTGTAAAATATTTATTGTCATTATCTTTAAAATTGTGAGTTTCTCGTGTGTCAAAACCTATTTCCTGTTTAATCAAACTATTTGAACAAATATTGGGAAAAAACCTTGTGTTAATAAGCGTTACAGTATAATAGAGGTGCTATACTGAGCTACCTACAAAATGTTGCTGGTAAATACCTGCTAATAATGCAATAAATATGATTTTTTTTTAGACGTGGGGCCCCCCCCCCCCCAAAAAAAAAAGAAAAAAGAAAAAAAATTGCTGGCATCTTTGCGATAATGCAGAGGCCTGATATATTTTTTCCCATCAGGCCTCATTTCAGCGTGAAATAGTCATACAAGATTTGATTTAGCTGGAAACAGCAGAGGTAACGTCGCAAAGCAAATATAGGCCAGTTATTATGCTGATTGTGCTCATAATATCAATTTATGTCCATTCAATGTTTTTAGACTCCAGATTAGTGTTTTTGCCACTATTGCTCGTGATACAATATCACTCTCATCACCATAAACTCTCTCTGACATCCTTCTTTGACTGCTTGACTTTGTGCAGGTTAACAACAGTAATCATACAGGAGAGTATAATGTGCTGGTGCTGATCCTGGAGGAGCTGAAGGAGCTGAAGAAATCACTAAATCTGCACCTCAGTGGCAGCGAAAAGGGAGGGAAGTACGTCCAGTGGGCAGCCAGAATCAACAGGGTTTTCTTCATTTTCTATGCTGTCACCGTGTCACTCTTTCTCTCTCTCATGTACACTGAGTGGAACACTTAGAAATGTAGAGTATTTCCTATTAATACTACAGTTTCTGTACTGTAGAGTATTTGTGTCAAAATATGGCGTGTATTGTCTTTTTGTAATTTAGGACATCATGTTAATGTTTTAAAACCTTGTTATTTTTTGTTTTATATACACTTTATATAGTTTCGCGTTCAACTTTTCCATAGTTAAAGTTAGATGATCCTTCAGACATGTATTGGAATGAGAATGATCAAAGTGTTAACCCTAAACGTTTGGCTTGATTAATCAGCCATCACTTTAGAGTCCAAGCTGTTGTATTATGCTTAATGAATGCTGAATGAAGTGTCCAATAAACCAAGAAACAGAAAAACCCAAACTACTTAAACAATGACTCAGTTTGTGGGCCATAATAAACAAATATTATCATCTCAGAATATTTTTTAATAAATAAAGCCTTAAGCCATCACGTCTCTTTATATTTTGTTTCCAATGAGTCAGACATTCATGTAATTTTTAAAAGTGGTCTTCAGCAACAGTTCTCCAGGCTTTCTGAAGGTCTTCAAAAGTTTCAGAAGGATGTTTTTTATTCATTTATTTGTTTGTTACGTCACTTAACTCTGACATATGAATCATTTAAGCATAAAAAGCCACCTAAATCAAAGAATGAACCGGTGTTGTGTCTGTATATGTCAGACAACAACAACGAAAACACTGTTTTGACTATGCAACTTTAGACACTGTGTTGTTAAAAGTCTATTACATTAACATTAAGGGAAGTTGTTCCCATTTCTTTAGCTGAATTTACAAAAAATGTCAAAGAAGAAGAACATGTTTATCAAAGCGCTTTATATCAGGTGTGCAGTGTGCACTTTGACTGGATATGTGAAAGGCAAAAGAAGATGTGGCAGGCCTAAAAAACTAGCAGATGAACAGTATCTAAAAGGCTATCCACTATCCACAGCCTGGTCACAACCAAAAACATCAATATTATTCAAATAGTATATAGCATCCCAAAAATCTCTAAATGTTTTGTTGTAGACTCAAAGAGAAAAAATACTTCAAAAAATGATTTAATGGTAACAAGATGAAAGAAACCTCAGACGAGCAAAAGGAGAGGGTTCCCTCTACCGGTGCAGGCAGGCATGTCATAGATGTTTGCTACAGGAGAGCAGCCTGGCAGATTAGTGTAAAGGACATTTGAGATTAAATCCTGCCTGCATCTAGTCTAATGTAAACTGGACAGGGCAGTAAATCAGTCATTATCAAAGGGGAACATCTATCTTCAAACTTCATCTATCAAACACGCACTCACTGACCTCACTGATTTCATATTTCTGACGTTCAATCTCTCCCGCCTGTCATACTTCAGTCCTCCTTCACCTCACAGCTCATTTGTTAAAACCAATCATGTTCATTCTCAGCCACCTGATATCGTGTTGTAAACATATTATGAGAAAAGAGGCCAGCTAGTAATTTCATTCAGCACAGGGTGGATCTGGGGTTAGTGGACTGTTCCTCTTTTATTGTCTACGCCATTCAATCAGCCATGCTGGCGTGCACCACTTTACCATTTGGACTTTAAACTGCACATTAAAAACAAAAGCAAACACACATTAAGGTGTTCTTTGATAGTAATGATAAATTCTGCAAACCTTTAGTGTTGTCATTATGACTATTACCAAACTTAACTCAGTTGTCTACTTTGTCTATGCTAGTTTGCAGTTTATTTACTTAAACAATTTTTCTACAAATCAAAGTTGCATCTCCAGTGGTGTTTTTGTGTGTTATAGGATTAAAGTAGAAACAGCAACCTTTTTCACTCACTATGTTTTTATACACCACTCTGCATTTACTTACTAGTTGTTATTAATCTCTAATTGTCTTCCGCAGCATGTCCTTGTTCTGTCTTCATCCCCAACCAGTTGTGGTAGATGGCCACCCCTCCTTGAGCCTGGTTCTGCTGGAGGTTTTGTCACGATCCTGGGTCTTTTGACCCAGCGTTTTGAGATTTTGTTTATTTTGATGTATATGTTTAAGTTCATTAGGTTATCTAAGTTCATTTGTTTATTAGATTCCCCTTTGTGCTGTCAAGCCCTGTGTTAAGTCTCTCTTGTCCTTTATGTGTTTCATGTCTGCATGTCTTTTGTTGTCAAGTTCGTGTAGTCATGTCTGCGTTTCATTTTGTTTCCTGTTTTATTTTGAAGAGGTCCTGTGTTCCTAGGTTAAATGTGTTTAGTTTTACTTTTCCCCTGTGAGTTCATTATGTTCATGTGGGTTGTGCTGTTTTGATCTTTATAGTTATTATTACGCTAGGTTTGTTTATGGTTATTGTGGTTATAATTCTTAGGTTTTGTTATATGACTTCCTGTGTTCCATGTTGTGCTTACGTGATGTCTTTCTGTCCCATGTTTCAGGTCCCTATGTTCTGTCTCCCCAGTCTGTTAAGTTTACATATCTGGAGTTCAGTCAGTGTGTTTCCTGTTTTACTTTGAAGGTCTGTGTCTCATGTCAGTGTTTCTAGTTTTGCTTCCCTTGTCTCGTCCAGCCTAATTACTCCCAGCTGTGCTCTCCTTCTGTGTCTCATTTCCCTCGTTATCCCTCTGTGTATTTAAGCCCTGTGTTTCTCTTTGTCAGGGTTGTAGTGTCCCTCATAGCTGTGTGATCGCCCCTGTGTTTTCATGTATGATTTATTATTAGTGTTCCCAGTTTAGTTTTGTTCTTTGTTTCCCTTCCACCCCTGCAATAAAGCAGTGTTTTTGAGTTCACGTTTGTCTTGGTGAGTTTTGCGTTTGGGTTCTTCTCTTGCCTGTAGTGATGGTGAGATGAAGCCTCATGATGAACTGAAGCTTTCCACCCAATTGGTCGACTCATGGTTCGAAGCATTGTGATGATTCATTTGCTCTACTGCGCCATCAAGTGGACAATTCAAGTGAAGCGGGCTCTGTGATTATAATGATGTGTAAACCTCTAAACTGAATAAATAAATTGTTTTCTTGGTTATTTATCCCGAATATTGTCTCAGTATGTGTGATACAAAAGAGAAAGTGGAAAGTATCAGGACAGCGTTTTGGTATGATTGTGTAACTGTCAGCCTCAGACAGTCAGTCAATAGTATAATTCAGATCATAGATCAGTACATTTGCATATTTGTATAACTATAAAAAGAAAGCTGACACTTTCGAGACTTTATCTAATGTGTAAGCATCACAGCAGATGCCTTTGTGTCAACATAGCTGAGGCTAAAACAGAAAAACGATTCTATAAAAATATTCAGCAGTAGATCAAAACCAAAAGAAAACCATCAATCAACAAATGAACATTACCTGATGCTGCTGAATTGAAGCAGAGCAAATAGAGGTTTTATTAGAGACACACCTTAGCGTTTTGCAATTTTGCATAATGTTAAAAAGTTTAAATTATTTTAGTAGCCTATTGAACGGCAGAAATTAGGTTTTCTTTTCGGAAGTATTTAAATGGGAAAGAACAGCGGCTGACAAACAACGGAGGTCTTATGCAAGCGAATAATGCAGAAAACAGATTTTTAGATGGGAAACTGTTCTTGAAGTATACTGTGTGTGTGTGTGTGTGTGTGTGTGTGAGTGTGTGAGTGTGTGTGTGTGTGTGTGTGTGTGTGTGTGTGTGTAGTGTGTGTGTGTGAGAGAGTGAGAGAGAGAAAGCTGTGCATGAAGTGTGATTTTATCCTGGTGAAAGCAAAACAGCAAAAGTCAGAGGAAATTCATGACGATGTTTATGTGAAGC